AAAATATGCGTTGTAGTCCAAACGAGTCGTTCGTTGTAGTTTTTGAAAAATGATTTCTGTTAAATAAAATATCTCCTTTTGAAGTGGACTTTGGCACCACTGTTTGAGCGTAAAAAATATCTGCAAAGTTACAAAGCTCAATCACAACACACACTGGCCCAGCTAACCACAGCACATTTATATTTTAGGCACATTAGATATTTTTTTTCGATTGATCGCTTAGTTTGTTCAAATTGAGCACATTGAGCATTGCACTCTAGAACACCTATAAGCTAGCTTCCTTTCCTTTCCTCAAACAAAGGGACAACAATCACAGCTGCGATGTAACAGCAATCATAGTAATCGGCAGCATTATAAATATCTCCCTCTTATGTGGCTGTGCTACAACCCACTGCTCAAAAAACCTACATTAAACATTTCACCTATAGATAGATACAGACCTGTCTCTCTCCTTCCATTCATAGCAAAAACACTTGAAAGAGATTGTTTTCAATCAGGTATCATTATTTATTTCACAGAATAACCAACTGGACATTAACCAGTCAGGATTCGGGAGTGGTCATTCAACTGAGACTGCGCTACTATCAGTCACTGAAGCCCTGCGGATTGCAAAAGCTGATTCCAAATCAGTTCTCATTCTGCTGGATCTATCTGCTGCTTTTGACACTGAATCATCAGATCCTCCTGTCCACCCTCTCATCACTGGGCATCACAGGTATTCCACTTCGCTGGTTTGAATCTCACTGGTAGGTCAAGACGGACAGTTCTGACCTCATGAAGTTGAACAGATACCTACGAGATCAAAGGCAGACATTGCGTTATTCACACTCATGCGCTGTGCTGCTAATAAACATGATATTTATTTTCATATAAAGCAACAGAACTGAAATTATATGATGAACAAGACACTCAAAGTACTTGCTATTTAATTCCATACAAAAGGCGTATTTATCATCCATTTTTACTTTAAAAGTGCCATAGAATGCATTGACACAATATTTTAAATTGTCCTCTGATGTCCCCAGAGTGTGTATGTGAAGTTTTTATCTACCTACGAGATCAAAGGCAGACATTGCGTTATTCACACTCATGCGCTGTGCTGCTAATAAACATGATATTTATTTTCATATAAAGCAACAGAACTGAAATTACAGGCTGTCCTCCTGACCAACGACATTAAACACTGTGTCTACACCGGACGCGAGCAGCAAAATACAGTAGAACCCATTATAATCAGTGACGCTGTGTACACTGGATGCATTTTACTTAAATGCGTTGTTAAAGTTCTGCAATTGTCTTGACTGGTGTCATGATCAGGGATTGCCAGCTCTTCCTCACCCCCTTCCCTGTCCACTTATTCTTCCAAATTGTGTGCAATCCTATTCAGTGCAATGTTTTTATATTCTATGCACTCCTGGCAGAGAAATAAGTCACTATAAAATATATAAAGGCCTAGTGGTCCAATAAATACTGTGATATGGGTCAGTGACAAAAAGGGGTTGGCAAGATGAGAAATTCAAAAATCTATTAAAAACTTGTTTTAAAAGCATGCATCAGGTATTTTAAAATGTACACGGTGTGTTTATGTTGATTTTATGTAATTAAAAATGACATATGCATCATTTTTTACAGAAGTTAAGACTGAATGTACCTGAAAATGTCAAATGGTGTAACTGCCAAAAAATGAGAAATATTAAATATTTTATCCACCTAGATGGAACGTATGCTTACTCATAGAAATAAATACTTCATTTTAAAATATCACACAAAAATATATTTTATTAGAGTTATCTATAAATGTAAATGTTAATGCGTTTTTGCAATATTTGGAGGGATAAATGCTGAAAACACCTGTTTTCTAAATAATCTTTGACAAAATATTAAAAACCATATTATACTAAACTAGATGATTACATTACAAAAAGGGGCTCTGTTATATCACATTAATTATAAAATATCAAATGAATTGTATTTTACAGATGTAAATTATAATCTTTGGTTAACATTTTTATCACTGAATTTAGGTTCAAATGTAGACACCCACTTAATTCTGCTAAATTATTAAATCATTTATGTATGTATTACATTATATGATACTATATATCCTTTAAGCCATCCTAGGTGTATTTGACTTTCTTCTTTCAAATGAATACAATTGGAATTACATTAAAAGTGAATGGCTGATATTCAATAGTCCAGTATAAAGTTTTAAATATGGATATTTTGCTTACAAAAGCTCATCGATTCGCTTCAGGAGGCTTTTATTAACCCCCAGAGCTGTCTGGAGCACTTTTTATGATAGATGGATGCAGTTTATTGGACTTCTATTGGACTATTGAATATCACCCATTCACTGCCATATTATAAAGCTTGGAAGAGCCAAGACATTTTAATATAACACTGATTGTATTAATCTGAAAGAATAAAGTTATATACACCTTGTTGAGTAAATTAGGAGCTAATTTTCATTTTCGGGTGAATTATCCCTTTAAAATGTTAAGTGAATGCAATAGAAATTTGCATTAAAGCTAAACATTTCAAAAACACGTTGTGCAACATAATTATTTTATCATAGACTTAAAGATCATTTATAATAAAGCTGTAGGTAAATAATATAAAATAATATAACAAACACTTGAAAATAGTTCCAAATAGTAGGTTAGTTTATATAACATCTTTAATCAGCATCATAAACTAGTGATATTTGACTAAATTGGCCCCTAACAGAAAGGCTTGTAATTGAAATGTCAAGTGGTGTAACCGGTTACACCACTTGACATTTCAATTTAAAATCAAATTTGACAGGCATTATCATGGACACCTATGTAAGTACATGGCCTTGTTGGGAATATTTCAAATGTAATTTTTAAAGTTAATACTCATTTTTATAATAATGATGAATTATCAATGTATTCCTGAGGTCATACTATTTGACATGTATACCTATACCTGACCAAACCCTAACAATTTCCAATTATCTCACATTTTAAAGAGAGTTACTAACCTTTGCAGGCAGCAGTTAGTA